CCCCCTTAGCACTTTGTGTAGGCAGATAGTCTCTCTGGCAGTGTCAGCACCTCTGCTGATGTTCTGGCTCTAGTTGGGCAGACCCGCTCTACCAGGAGACCTGACTGGCCTCTAGTCATGCTTCCTTGTCCCATCCTGCTGTTGCTAACATCTGGGTCGCCTCGCAGTTACCTGCTGGGCTGCTCAGCAGGCCCACTGGCTGTGACATCATTTCCCAGCATTGCATTGGTTTCTGTGATCCCAAACTGCATGCTTCCCATTTCCCCACATGGACGGTCCACTGCCCAGTGTGTTTGTCTTAGCCTTGACAACACAAGCCCTCAATGTCAAGTATTTCATGACCAAGGGGCTTTTCCAGTTCATTCAGATGAAGCCCGATCCCTGGCACTGCACTGTTGGCTCAGGATAGAGCAGTCTGAGGAGTTGGTGCTGGAAACTCATGGGGTCAGGGTTGTTTCCCTGCTCACCCAGGTGGGGTCAGCTGTGCTTTCCTCCATAACACTTTAATGGACCAAACACACGCTCTTGCGGCGTGAGCGGAGATGTTTCTCAGAGAAAAGTATGGAGGGCGGGGGACACGCCAAATAACTGCAGCAGTGGCACTGGGGTGAGAGAAAGTGGGATTCAGCTGGTTATAATGAGCTGTGTGAACTTGGGAAGTTCCCTACAATGTCTTTGCTTTTCATTTTGTCAGTGGAAAAGACAAAGGAGTGATGATAAACTAGCGATGACAAGTCCAGAATAAATAACGCGACGACAAAAAATAAATAAATAAAAATTTCTTAAAAACATAATGCGATGATGTTTGAGGTGACGTTTCTAAACACCCTGAGAGCGGATCTGGGGTCTTGTCCTGGGGCTGGTTTTCTTGCTCCCATCCTCGCTGCTGCCATCAGGCTGCGATTCCCCTCCCCTGTTCTGCCTGATCGGTGACAGCAGGCTTCTTTTCCTGGACAGCATGAGTTTATCCGGGGCCCTGCTAAGGTGAATTCTTCAAAAAGAACCCTGTGAAGATGAAAGGAAATAAACAAGCAGGAACAAGAGCCACAAAGTCCTGCTCATGACATTGGAACCCAAAGCCCGCTGCTGTCGGGCCAGCTCCAGGGCCTGGCCACTCTGGAGGACAGCGTAGAACTGTCCCAGAGGGTTTCCAAGGCTGTCATTCTTTACAGAAGCTGCCCGGCTCATCTTTCCCTGGGGATGTGACCAGTGGGCTTGAGCCTCTAACCTTTCAATGGCAAAGCCTCTTCTCCCCAATGAGACCTTCGCTGCTCTCCCTCCAGTCCTTGGAGGTGGTCTTTGACTAAGGGTGCCTTCCCCTCCTCAAAGCATCCACTCATTGTGTTGCACGGAAAATGACTATCTTTGAGCCAGAGGTGCTTCTCAGAAGGCTGCCTTTCACCAGATTAAGCAGCCGCGTGGCTCTGGGGTGGACACTTGGATTCTCTAAGGAAAAGACATCCTTGTGTGCCAGTTCCTCTCCCCTCTGAAACAGAGCCAAAGGGGGACAGTGCTGGTTCAAACATGATGCCTCCCTCGGCTTTTCTTTGACTTTCTTCTCAGGGTTCCAAGGAACCACAGAAGGAGCTACCCAACCAGATCAATTAACCTAGGGACCACATTGTGTTCACATATGTCCCTTTCTGCAGGGGAAAATAATCCAACGACTAAGCATCCCCCAGTATTCTGGGGAGCCCTAGGCATCTTCTGTGACCCCCAGCTCCCTCCACCTCTCAAAGTATAGTCCACGTTGTGGAGGGTGTGAATCCCACATCCATCCACCCTGAGCCACCTGGACATACACCTCTTTCCTCCATGACAGGAAGAAGAAATGGTTCTCTACTACTGTTTCGGAGATGAAGCAAAGACTTTTACCAACTGGATGTGTAAGCAAGCAGCCACAGTTATGAGTGTATCAGCCAACCTGTCTCATATGAGGAGAGATACAGGAGTACTAGTGATTCACAAGTCAGAAACATGCAGTGCATGTTAACTGTGCACCCCAGTGCTTTTGAATGATTTCTGAGGTGATCTGGTGGCACGGAGTTCTTCCTTCTGCTCTGAGGAGGTATTGCAGGCTCTGGGTCCCATGGGATCCCCTGTCCCCTCTCCCATCAGTAGGTCTGCCACAAGGAGCCTGGGCTATGCCAGGCAAAGACAGCCTCTGCTTATGGCTCCCAGAAAATTAGACCAGATCTATATTCCTGGGCTGTGCTGGTTGGTTGTAAAAGGAAGCTCTACTGAAACACTTCAGTTGTGCTTGACAGCTGTGCTCCAGTGATTTCAAGAGGGGAAGAGCTCTGCTTGATGCCAGCGAGGTGATGATGAGGTCCTAGCCGTTCTAAAGAAATCCCTATCAGACTGATGCTTTTTAAAAAAAACGTAAAGATCCTTTTTTACATTTCTTCTGCATTCTGCTGTAAAAGTAAAAGCATCAAACCATTCAAATATTTGTGCTGATAAAAAGGGGAAAGGGTATGTTTATACGTGTCTATGTATTGGGGCACATGAAATATTTTAATACTGATCTTTATGTTCCCCATTGATTAATAAAAACGTACTTTCAAATGATGACTGGAGGAAAAGCCACCACTTGATGGTCACTGTTAGGGCTTCAGTTTGTTACAATGAAGAGCAGGGGCTTGTGTATAGAGCGTCCTAATGTACTCTCTGCATTCGTTTTCTGTGGCTGTTGTAACACCTGGCACTGAAGACTCAAATGGTCTCCCAGGGCTTACGCCAAGTGTAGCAGGGCTGCATTCCTTCTGGAGAGTCCAGAGGAGAATCCATTTTCTTGCCCTCCCTAGCTTCTAGAGGTGCGTGGGCCAGTCCTTCTTCAGGGCCTGCCACATGCGGCTGTCTCTCTGCTTCTGACTCTTCTACCCTTCTCTTGCATATTTTAAGAACCTTTATAATTAATTACATTGGTTCCACCCAGGTAGTCTGGAATAGTGTCCTTCTCTTGAGACCTTTCATTTCGTCTCATCTGCACAGTCCCCTTTGCCACATAACAGAACATGATCACAGGTTCTGGAGACTGGCATGTGGGCATCTTTGAGGGCAATGATTTTGCCTGTCATAATCTCATTAAAAACCTGCCATCTTCTCTTACCTTCCAGAATTGGCATAACTTTGATGATTCTGCCACCACATTGGACTGATTTTCCTTCGCCCTCTGTTTGGAAATGCTTTTATTTCAGAGAAAGAATGCTGAGGGGTTTGGGTAGGGCTTGGATGCTGTGTGGCAAGTAACTTCTCTGGGATTCAGCTCCTTTATCTGAACACTATGAATGACAATGTGAGCTTCCTAAAGATCTGACAGTCTCAGAGTCCTGAGAACAATACGGCCAAACCCAACCCACTGCTGCCAAGTTGGTTCTAAGGCACAGCGACCGTGTAGACCAGGGCTGCCCCACGGTATTTCTAAGTCTGCCACTTCTTCCTCTCGAGGAGCGCTTTCACCACGGTGCCACCAGAGGTCCTGAAAGCGATTGCAGTGTAAATGAAAATAAGGTCCACTTGCGGCCCCAGTGTGGTCTAGGAACCTACATGCATAGGACCACCAAGAAGCATCATTTTAACATGCAAAATTTCTTCTTAAAAACATCAATTCTGGCAAAAGAACCCCAACTACAAAAGAACAAATACAATAGCTCCCGGCCCTCCTCGCCCAGTGTCATATCCCTAGCCTCGGCAGCAGGTCATTTTAATCTCTATTTCTGTTTATCTTGATTTGCTCCCCCCCCCCCTCCTCTGATGTTTGTTATATTTTGAGGGAATAGTTATTCCCTTCACGGTAGCTTACAAACATCTAATCATTCCTATCTGTTTGGGTTATTGGTGGGGTTTTTTTTATTGTTGTTTTTTCCATTTAATAGCAATTTATATTTAAATTCCGGCAAATTGAAGAGTGTAACTTTGACCTTTGAATGTTCATGCATTCAAGTACTTTAGACAGATTTTTGCCTCTTGGTGTTTTGGTTTGTTTATTTTTAATTCTATTTTGAGTTTTATAAAAACGCATATTTCTATTATTCCCCAACCCATAATTTTATTTAATGATTTTTTGGCTTAATTTTCTTTTGCTTTAACATTTTATTTTTCAGACACCTCTCATTGAACCTCACGTTCCTCTTCATCCTGCTAACTCCATTACCAAGGTAATGGGACGTAGGTGGGTTGATGAGCCATCAGAGCTAGCGTCTTAAGTAATCGCTGGAGGTGGCCCGTGTGTCAGGGCATCGCATCAGGAAACCTCTGACATGTGCTCTAGAGACAATTCATATTCAGTGCCTCTCACTTCTCAGCACACACAGTGACATGTCACACAATGCCAATGTGTGAGTTACGCTTTTCAAAGCCAGGGTCAGATTGAGAAGTCAGATTGAAGGCTGCGTCTAGTTTGTTTTCCTTTTATAAACTCTCCTTTGTTTTTCTCCTCTCCTCTCTTCACTTAATTAAAATCTAGGTCCCTTCGGAGAAGATCCTCAGGGCTGGAAAAATTTTACGAAACGCCATCCTCTCTCGGGCACCTCACATGATTAGAGATAGAAAGTACCACCTAGAGACGTACAGGTACGTGTGCGCATCCACGGACTGAGTGGCCTTCTCGGATCAGTTAGTAAAGCTGCAACCACTTTCCATGAGACCTCCGGGTTCTGGAAGAGTCTGTGGTTGTGTTGAGTCTCTATTATTTAATTATCCTAATTACTCCTAAGTGAATTTGCCTGCATATTTGTTTCACTGTGATAAGGAAAGAGTAGAAAATGAAAGTTTTATATTCTTGTGTCTTTTAGAAAAACTGCAGAATTTCATTCAGCTTGCATTAACCAAGTCCTTGTTATATGTGAAGCCCAATGCCAGACCATGTTCCAGATATTTTTCCATTTCACCCACAAAACACTCCCAGTAGGTAGTTGCACGGCCATTTCCCAGAGAGTGGAACTGAGATTCAGAGAACTTAAAGAGTTTCCCTTGTCCAGGGAGTCACAAGTCCAGGGAGTGGCAGAGTCACAGGGGTGGACTGGTGGTTCTCGTGTTCGCTGATTTTTTCATTCAATTACTCCTTCACTCCACACTATGATATTCCCTGCCTTAAGGCTACAACCATTAACAAAATATGCCAAGGGCTTTATGAGCGCTACTTTCTAGTGCAGGGTTGCATATAGTTAAGTGAGTAATATAGCATCTGAATAGTTGAACACACAACTAAATATCACATCTGTATAATACCAGTTGACTTTGAGTGGCCACTGGCTCGTGGCGCCCCATGTGTGTCAGAGGAGAACTGTGCTCCATGGGGTTTTCAATGGCTGGTGTTTTCCAGGAGCTGGTCACCTGGCGTTTCTTCTGAGCCACTTCTGGGTAGACTTGAATTCCTAACCCATTGGTTAGCAGCCAAGTGCATTAACGATTTCTACCGCCCACCCAAGGACTCCTATAAAGGAAATAAATAAAGATTTATCTTTTCTTAGCGTTGGAGGTAAGAAATGACAAAGACAGAGATAAGGTAGTACTGTATGTGGCTTGACAAACCTCCTGGGATCCAGGAAAGGGGGGGTGGGCAGTGAGTATAGAATTCTAATCCTTAATTTTTGTTGTATCAACTCAGCAAGCTTCTAGCAATTGAAATGGCTATCCATTCCATGGTCCTCAGGCTTTCCCTGCCACTTCCTGCACCTCTGTTTCAGACTCAGCCCTCCTTTAGCCATTAGCTGTCCCTTTTAGTCTAGACATGACTTTAAAGCCCATTAGAGTTGAGTCACACGTGCTTTCGAAGCCCTGTATGAGTAGTTGATTCCCATAAACAAAAATCTGAAGTCCCAGTGATGGGACAGCACACAGGTTTCAAATGTACGCTGAAGGAGATCTTTCTCTCCAATGACTGTCAATTGTGACAGGTACTATAAAGCCCCGGCCCTGCACTCTAGCAAACCTTCGTAGCCATCAGAATCCATGTGAGTCATGTTCTCGACTTTCTCCAAAGCAGAGTTCCAAGACCTGCAAAGTCTTTCTTTCCCTTTGGCTCGCTTGGTCTCCACTCCGGGGCTGTTCTGCTTGTGTTTGCCACCAGTCAGTGAGCAGACTAAAATTGACGGCTGAATTTCTACAATTCAATTGACCTCTTCTTGATAGAATATGGAAAATGAGATGGGATTTGAGAAGAGCTTTATTTTGGCCGACACCATCCTAAACCATCTTGTAGAACAGCTCCTCCTGGTCTCCCCTTTTACCAGTCTCTGTGTAAGGAGATTCAGGGTGATTGAGGAGCCCTGGAGGTGCTGTGGGCTCTGTTTGGTCTGTTCTCATAAACGCTGACAACCTTAGAAACCATAAGGAGCAAGTCTACTCTGTCCCATGGGTCAAAATGGACTCAGTGCCTGTAGGCCCATTTGAGGGTGGAGAACGGTTTATTTAAAATCACCTTTGATCTTTTGTCCTTCAGCCGTGAAAGTTGAATTCTTTGGGTTGGGGGGGGCATCCCTATATACTATTATATCCCTATACACTATTATAATATTAAGTATATCAAAGGTTAAAAGAAATGTGTCAGATGTCCCTAGGGAGATTATACCCCTTTTAACCCATTACATGAATCTCAAAACTTCATCTAACTAAAGGATCTTTTACTTTTTAAAAGATGTCATATTTTTTCCCTTAAAGATGTGATTATGCTTTTCCAAGCATTGACTTGTGTGAGGGAATTTCCATTAAAATATGTCATGTTTTGTGACAAATAATGGAAACTAGAGGTCAGAAACCAGAATCCAACTATAGCCCTCTGATGTTAAAGCCCTGTCTACTCCACACCCTATGACACAAACCAACCATCTGTTGGTCATGGGCTCTACTAGAAGCCAATGGTGTAACTTTTTTTTTCCTGAACTTGAGTTTCTTGTCCCAGATCTTGAACTTCCCAGTTCCAGCCTCTCTCTCCTTCCTGCCCCGCACTCCATTATAGCTCTGTGGTGTAGTGGTTATACATTGGGCTGAAACCCACGTAGACGACAGTTTGAAATCACCAGAAGCTCCATGGGAGAGAGACTGGGTTTTCTACTCTCATAAATAGTCTCCGTCTTGGAAACCCACGGGGCGTGGCAATGAGTGAGCATGGACTCGAAGGCAGTGAGTTGTGGAATTAGCAAGTGGAAGTCTACTCAAGTGCAGATCACTTCAATCCTCAGTGTACTAGAGGTCTGCTGTCCATTCCAAAATGATTACCCACTGTCACTAGTCAACCCCAACTCACAGAGGCCTCATATAGGGTTTCCAAGACTATACACCTTTACAGGGACAGCCTCATCTTTCTCCCTTGGAGGGAGCGGCTGATGGGCTTGAAACACTGACCTTTTGGTTAGCATTCCAATACCTAATCCCCAGTGAAACCCAGGGATTTCATATCACAGCTCTATGCCTTGTTCTACATCCTCACTGCAAGACTCTTCCCCCAGTTGCTCTAGGGTCAGCTTGACCCTCTCTGCTATGTGTAGCACAGGCAATTGTTGAATTAAAAGCCACATAACATGGAGTTCTCATATTTTCACAAGACTCTTCCCATTAATGAATTCTCACAGTAGGAACGGAATGTTTTGACACATCCTATGTGTGGTTCAGAATGAAGATCGAAGCTCCTGATATGCAGCTGTAGGTTGTAATAACAGCCCTGGGAATCTGAAGCATTCTCACTGTGCCTTCCTTGAGAATTATTTGGGGGATCATACCCGACCTAGGGCACCCCAGGAGCTCTGATAGGATTCAGAGTGTTCTTAGCAAAGACCCTGGGGGGATGAGGCACCAGTAGTTTGCAATTGACTGAGAACCCTAAAGGTTAGCGGTTTGAACCTACCCAGCTACTCCATGGAAGGAACGGTCCTGTAAACTTCTCCCATGAGGATTCCAGCCAAGCAGACCCCATAGAGCAGGCTTACTCTGTAATGCATGGGGTCTCTGTAAGTAAGAAAGCAACTCCTCACCAGCTAACACCACCACCCGTAAGTGAGGACGAGAAAAGGCCTTCCCTCACTGCCATTGAGTCAATTCTGACCCACAGCGACCCTTGGTAGCAGAGGAGTTGAACCTTTTTCTGCCAAGAGCAGAATAATTCTGGCTAGGCAAATACCGGGTATAAATTCCTGTTTACCCAGAAGATGTTTTTCACCCTCCTGAAGATACGATCAGAAAAGCTGAGTGTGTCCGTTTCCCGGGGCTGCTGTACCAAAGCAGCACAGAGAGGGCCGCTTACACCAATATTACTGTGTTGTCACAGATCCAGAGGCCAGAAGTGCAAAATCAAGACGTGGGCGGGGGCGTCCTCTCTGTGTCCGCTCTAGGGGAAGAGCAGTAGATGCTATCACCTCAGTAGAAATCCCAGGTAGGGGTGGGGAACCATTTCTCTGCAAGGATCCTTTAGACATTTATAACATCCTTCGCAGTCAATTTGGTCAGTCTGAGTAAACATTGAATCCACTCACCTCTGACGTCATGGCTAGAACTGCTTCTCTTCGATGAACATGTAATCTTAACTGGTGTTGATGAGTTCATGGGCCCAAAGGCCAGACGTTCCCACCCCTGCTTTATAGGGTGGCGAGTAGACAAATCTTTAAGGGAGTAGACAATCGTCTTTCTTCCAAGGGGCAGCTGGTGGGTTTGAATCTCCTACCTTGCAGTTAGCAGTTCAATCTCTAACCCATAATGCCACTAGGCCTCCTTGGAAAAGACCTTAGAAGTCATCTTTTCCTTCTCCTTTATTTTACAGATGAGGAAACTGAGAACCCACAATTGAAGCAGCATGCCCACGGTCACATAGCTAACAAGTCTGGTGCTGCATCTCATGTTTCCTTAGTTCAAGATTCTTCTCATTGGCTCCCTCTCAGTTACAGCTGTATCTTCTTCCCCTCTAATCCTTTGCCGTCGGGTTGAGGCTGACACATAGCCACCCCACATAGGGTTTCTGAGACAGTCAATCTCTATAGGAGCCGATCGCCTCATCTTTCTCCCTCTGAGCAACTGTTGGGTTTGAACTACCAACCTTATAGTTAATCATTGGGCTTCCTCCCTCAGGACCCCTTCTAGAGAGCTAGAATCAAAAGCCAGACTTCAAAGGAGGGACAGTGCCAGGAGTCTCTCCGTTTTAAACTTAAGAGGTGCTCCCTGGGAGCAGCCCACGCCTCAGAAAAGGGACCACCCTGAGCATGGGAGGGGAGCAGCCAGTGAGTCAGGCTCAGCTGCCAGCAGCCAGCTGCTTCCTGACTCTGCCTGGCTCTATTGTCCCTTGGGATTCATCCCTCGTCTTCAAGACTCCATTTCCTTCCTGAGTCGTCATGCCAGGAACACCTGCCCTTCTCTCTCTCACCCCACCCAGCATTTCTGTGTTTCCTAATGTATGCATGCGTTGAATTCTGTATTTCCTGACCACTTTGCCTAAGAAGCCCTGGAAACTCAACAGTTACGCACTTGACTGCTACCCAAATAATGATCAGTTCAAACTGACCCAGCAGTTCCTGGGGAGAACAGACCTGGCAAGCAGCACGTGGGGCTGCGTTTAAGCACATGATCAGCAGTACAAGACCACCAGAAGCTCCCTGGAAGAAAGATGAGGTTTTCTAATCCCGTAAAGCGTTACGCGCTCAGAAACCCACAGGGGCAGTTCTGCTTTGTCCTGTAAGGTCGATAGGAGTTCTACTCTGCCACCGGGCATCACTTGATGGCTTCTAACAATAACAACTGGTATATATACAGCTTGCCCATCCATGCGGACTCAGCCCAGAGGGGCATCTGAAAGATTACTGTGTGAATGCATCAGAAGCGTTTAGAACTCCTCAGATGGCAGGCTCCAGAGAAGTGCTGATGCTCATTATACAGAACTTTTCTCCGAGCGATTTGCATCACTAATTGCTTGTTTCTCCCAACACCCCTCTGAGGAAGAGCCGTAGTATTACTTGAAAATATAAAGTGCTATATAATTTTGTACTTACACAGAGCCTTTTATGGAGCACCTCTGAGTGCCTCGGGAACGTTCGTTCATTCCTCACGAGGCCCCAGGTGGAGGAAGTCAGCCGTTTGCTTGTCTTCATTTTGCAGACAGTCCAAGATGAGAGCATTTTCTGCCCTGCAGTTAGCTGGCTGAAAATGCTGCCCTCTCAGTGCCCTCCCGGTGTTGCACCTTGTCAGGCTCTTATATTTAACCAGCCCTGCTTCAGAGGTTTTGAGCCAAATGGTTATATTGGTCTTTCCAAGAGTTCGATGAGGGGCAGTGATAGAACTCTCGCCTTTGAGGGGAGCAGATGTGAGTTCAATTCCTGGCCAGTGAAACTGGTACACAGCACAAGCCAGCCGTCGGTTGTCAGTGGAGGCTTGCATGTTGATATGATGCTGAACTGGTTTAGCAGAGCTTCTAGACTAAGACAGACTACAAAATTAAAAAAAAAAAGAAGGCCTAGCAGTCAGCCAATGAAAACCCAATGGAATTCACCAGTGAGGTCCTGGAGATGGCAGAGGGCAGGGTGTTTTGGCTACAGTGAGACAAAGTTCTTTGGGGGTGGGGTTGCCTTCTTGATAGTCGCCTGCAAGGATATGATTTCCCCCTCCTGTCTGTCCCCTCTGTCCCTAGACAATGCTGTGTGGGAACCGAGTTGGTGGACTGGATGGTGCAGCAGACTCAGTGTGTTCACTCCCGGACCCAAGCTGTTGGCATGTGGCAAGTCTTGTTGGAAGACGGTGTTCTCAACCACGGTAAGATGAGCCACAGTCTTTGGAAAACCTTCGAGAAATGCTAAGTGTCTTTCCGGGGTGAGTTGTTGCTCAAAACCCCCGTGGCCAAGGAAGAATGATGGTCCCGTGACAGGGGCCTGCCGAGCTCGCATCTTCATTGAGCAAGACAAACGCAGCAAGTGGACGCTATTGACTGTTGTGTTCCACATTGTACTTCCTAACTTGGGAGAATGTACGGAAGGAAATGAAATTGCAGCCCGGGCGTGTCAGTTCCAATTATGTTTATTAGTTTGCATTCACGGTTCATTGATAGTGTGATTAGACTCTGAGCATCACAGCAACCCTGGGGCAGGGCAGAATAAAGAGCAAGGGAATGTGTGGCTGCGCTGATGGTGGCCAAGTAATGAACTCAGAAGCCGCCTTTTAACTGTGGGGTCTCATCCAGGAGAGCCCATTTGTAATGCCCACGGGATGACCACATTTAAAGTCAGGAATATGCTCTGCAGTTCGGGATGGCTACCAGGCCCATTGGTGAGCAGAGCAGCTTTTTGGGACTGGCAGTACCTTGTGGCCTGACTGCTCATGCCATTTGTTTAAAGACCTCTTTTCCAAATGGGCACGATTGTAAAAATCATCCATTTAATTTTGCAAACACCTGGGAATCCTAGGCTGATTTCAGCCAGTGTTTCTCGTACTTGAATAAGCGGAGCAATCACCAGGTCACCTGTTAGAAATGCAGACGTGTAATTCTGCAGGCCTGGAGGGAGTCCTGGGGTTACGGATTTCCCATAAGCATCCAGATGCTGCTGCTGCTTCTCCAGAAACCACACTCTGAGCAGCCGGGGTCTGCCCCTCCGCTGTAGCTGTGCATGCTCCACTCTGCAGAGGAGAGCTACAGGCTTAAGGGCGTCGAGAGGAAGGATGCTGAGTTGGGTTCATTGCCTATGTTCTACCAAGCACAACATCTTGCTAGGATAAGAGAGAAAACCTTTCCATCTTTTTTATCCTCCTTCCGTTCTCCCCTCCTCCCCATCCTTCCTCTCTTGACCACAGCTGGAAGAACCTTTCCAAGAGTCCTCAGGAGTACATGACCTAGAGGTTGGACTCTGGCCTGCTGACTTAAAATGGTTTCATTCTTTTTTTTTTTTTTAGTCCAGGCACAACTGTTTGTAAGCCATCTTTGTAGAAAAAACAGCAACATGAATTTGGCTCGCGCCAAAATGCTTGTTCAAAAAGAAATCTATACTCTGAAAGGCATTAGGGAGCCTGTGCAGGCTCTGGGTTTTCCACCCCTCCTGTTTAGCCGGCCCTCCTCCCTGCTCGGCAATGCTAGTCCAAGAGCTGGCTGGGCAAGTTGGCAGGTCCCTGTGAGGGTGGCCTCCACAGACCCAGGAGGTGGGTGTGGCTGAGAGGCGGGTGAGCCTGACGGCACCGTGAGGCACCCATGTGTGCCAGCTGCTCCACTGGGACAGGCCAAGCGACCAGGGCCACGCTGCCATTTGGCTCTGCTGCCTGGCACCATCCGTTTACCCCAGGAACCGGGACCCCGCGTGCAAGCGGTGGGGGCAGCGGTGTTCTACGGCCGAGGTGCCACCACTGACTTTGCCCTCCGTGCTTCCCTCAGTGGACCAGGAGCACCACTTCCAAGACAAATATTTATTCTATCGATTCCTGGATGACGAGCGTGAGGACGCCCCTCTGCCCACTGAGGAGGAGAAGACGCAGGGCGACGAGGAACTCCAGGACACCGTGCTGCTGCTGTCCCAGCTGGGGCCCGACGCCCACATGCGGATGATCCTGCGCAAACCGTGAGTAGCCCAGGCCCCGGTCCAGGTGCGCCGGCAGGCTCCCTGGGCAGAGAGGATCTCGGCGCTTCAACGTGTCACCCCCGCCCCCCTCTCCGGCACCCTCGGAGAACCTCTGGCACGACTGGCACGGTGATGCTTGCTCGTTGTCGGTGGGGCGACTCTAGTTCCCGTTCGCACAACTCAAAACGACTGAAGTTTTCAGGTGCTGATGTCAAAACGGAGTCTCTCTATGAAGCGACCTTTGGTCAGTGGCAAACAGACCGGGCTCTGAGTTTCAGTTTGATCGTGGCAGCCACGGTCTTCCCAATGAAACAGGACAGAGTCTGTCAGAACCACGGACCTCAGGCCTGGCCTTTCCTGTGTTGGCCCATGCATTCATTCGGTTAGCACAGCCTTGTCACCCTATTCTGAGGCTCTGCTCTTCAGCTTAGAGACCCCCGTTTTAGTACATCACCAGGAACTCCGTCAAGCCCGCCGCTAGGCAGTCTCTTCTTTCACCCCACTGCAAACCCTCCTTCCCTTCAAGCTGCCACCCACCAGTTGGAGTGGAGCACTCTGCGGTCTCTGGCGAGATGAACTCACTGAAGAATATATTGAGCCCTTACGATACGCAGGTCCCTCTTTAAGAAAAAACCCTCACTGCCATCAAGTCAATTCTGACACACAGTGACCCTATAGACAGGGTAGAACTGTCCCTGTGAGGTTCCGAATCTTTACAGGAGTAGAAGCCCCCCCCCCCCCAAGGAGCAGCTGATGGGTTCGAATAACAGACCTCATGGTTTTCCAACCAACAGGGCCCCCACTACAGCACCAGGGCTCCTCCTAATTTCTCATTGCTTTGAGGCATACAAAGCAGCAAAAAGACACAGTTCCCACCCCAATAAGGTTCAGCTTGGCAGCAAGGTCTGAAACCACAGATGCGGATGAATGAAATTGCCCTCCATCCATCCGACAACCAGCGTCTGCCAGCTGTGGCTGGGGCCTGTGAGTCCTGGACGTGGCTGCCCTCCACTGAACTGTGGGTCCCCACAACAGCGTTATATGGACGTGACTGTGCGTCTGCTGGTGCTTGTCCAGAGTGATGCGTCCCTCAGATCAGCTTCCCTGATGCCAGCCCCTCAAAGCAGTGCACTGCAGTCTCTCTGAGTCCAGCGGAGTCCCTCGCCCCGGGATTCGTTCCCTTTCACCTGCCCCAACTCAGTGCTGCCCAGGAGGACTTTTCAGGCTGCTTCACTTTTGTCTCACCATGCCCCTTTGTCACGCTCTCCGCTCGGCTCTGATATCCCCAGGCCTTTCCTCCTCCTCCCGGGTGGCCCCATCATCCTTCACTCTAGAACCATGACTTTCCGCTTCAGAACCCTTTCTTCAAATAAAAATGTACTGGGAAATCCAAAATATCAATCAAACAAACAAAAAAAGCCAGGGCTTCTATGACTGAACCAGGAGTAGAGTCCAAAACACCTGCCCAGCCAATTGATCCTCCTCTGTCCTGCAAGGAGCCCTGGTGGTAGGCGGTTTTACTCTCAGCTGCTAAACAAAAGGTTGGAGGTTCAAACTCAACCGCCACTCCGCAGGAGAAAGGTGAGGCAGTCTGCTTCCATTCCGACGCGCAGCCTTGGAAACCTGGTGGAGCCGTTCCGGTTTGTCCTACAGGGTTGCTATCAATAGAATAACTTGACTGCAACGGGTTGTGTTTTGATTGGCTTGGTTTGCTCCAAAGGCTTATACACACAGGACTGAAGGGACGACAGAGAATCGCCAGGACTTGGGGAACTCAATCTGAAAACAGCATTCTATACAACACTGTCTTTCCTGCTCCTCTATTCCTCTCTTGCTTTTCATTGCACTGTGTCCCATTGTCCATCCTTTGTAGGTTGCCACCATTTCCTGGGTCTGTCCCTTCTTGCTAATCCCTTCTTGCTAATCTCCTTGATGCCCCCTTCCCTGTGCAGTGGTCCTGAGTCAAAAATGGGACATTGGGCAATGTGTGGGAGGGAACATGCTGCTGGCATTCTTTGGGCAGTGGTTAGAACCAAAAGAAGACTAAGCATTCTGCAATACCTAAAATAAAAACAAAAACTTAAACAAGTGCCCTCAAAATAATGCCCCTGTTGACAAGCATTGCTATCAACTGTATCTCACATGAATGAGCAGTATCACACTCTGCTCCATTCATTCCTTCATTGGTGTATTCGCCGTATTTCTTGATATGTTAGGTGCTAAGGCTACAGCATTAAACAAGAAGCTTCTCCTTTCTGGAACTTCCCGTCTAGCACAAGAGGCAGATGGTGAAGAATCAGTTATGCAACAACCACTGAGTCGCAGGTGCAACACGTGCTACAAACTGTGATGTGAGAACAGGGCCGATCTCAGGTTTGGTTCTCGAGAGATGCAAAACATGAACATTTATATATGTAACTAGAGAGAGAGAAGCTATATCAAGGAAAATGGCTCACGCAGGTGTAAAAGTGGACAACTCTTAGCCTGGGCGGGTTCTAAGTCCGTGGGCCAGTTGTTCAGCTGGAGGCTACTCACGCCGCTCCAGGGTCTGTTGGACCCAAGATCTGCAGGAAGACCACAGGCTGTTGACTCCAGTCCAAAGAACCAGAGGTCGGGGAGCCAGACATCCGACCCAGACACAGCAAAAAATAAGCAAGCTTTTCCACGGCATCCTGATATTGAAAGGAGGCCACACCCCCATGGAAACTTCCTTTTAATGGTATCTGGGCAGTGACCTGAGTGAGGGTATTATGTTCTACGCTAATCTCATCTCATGATGAAGGCTTAAACCTGATTGGCTGTGATTACATTATGTTAGGTCAGGGCACGGGGGCTTACTAGGTGTTAACTATGGGACCACTGAGAATGCTGGCCCAGCCAAGTTGACACAACACTGCAACTCTCGCTCTGAGCCTCTCACGGAGTGTTGCTGTGTTGGTTGTGGGGCAGTTCCAGCTGACAAAAGCCACGTGTGTTTTGAAGTGGAACTGTGGTCTGTCTGGTTCTTCAGTGGCTTTCATACTTTGGAAATAGATCGCCGGGTCTTTCTTCCAAGGTACCCCTGGGGTGAGTAGGCCTACAATAAAATTCTCTAAGCAAGTGAGTAAATGACTCCAGAGTCCCGGCCAATGTTCACTACTCTGTTCTTAGTTCCTTCAAGAGAGGCAGAAATGCCATCCAATGCACAAATATTTTTGAGCACCTACAAAAAGGGATTTTTAAAAATTAAATAATCATTGTATTAGGGGCTCATACAACTCATCACAATCTGTACATACGTCATTTGTGTCCAACACATTAGAACGTATGTTGACTTCATCATTCTTACAACACCCGCTTTCCACTTGAACCCTTGGTGTCAGTTCATTTTTCCCCCTTCCGCCCCCCTCCCCCC